GGTATATATAAGAAAAATAAAAGAAACAATAGGACAGGGATGGTAGGCACATTGGTGTGCTTATGCATGCCCCCTACAGACCTCTTAGGAAAGGGGTGAGGTCAATAGTAGACAGTCTAAGGTTAAAGTTTTTAGGGTTTGGGGAAGAAACCACAGAGTCAGGTAGAGTATTCCAGACATTGACCAATCTGTTGTTGAAGTCGTATTTCCTGCAATCAAGTTTGGTGCGGTTAACCTTGAGTTTGTATCTATTGTGTGCTCTTGTGTTGTTATGGTTGAAGCTGAAGTATTCATTGACAGGTAAGTCATTGCAATGTATGATTTTATATACCATACTTAGATCAGACCGAAGATAGCTTAATTCAAGGTTTTCTAGGTCTAGAATTTCAAGTCTGGTGGCATAAGGTATTCTACAACAAGTAGAGGAGTGGAGAACTCTTCTTGTGAAATATTTCTGGACTTTCTCAACTGTGCTAATATCAGATACGTAATGTGGGTTCCAGACTGATGAGCTGTATTTGAGTATTGATCTAGTAAATGTTTTGTATGCTCTAGTTAGTAGTGTGATATTACCAGAGAAAAAGCTACATAGGATTAGGTTAACAACAATTAATGCCTTTTTGGCTATGTAGCTACAGTGGGCTCTAGAACTTAGATCGTTAGAGATGAGTATTCCAAGGTCCTTTACAGATATTCCATAGATATTCCATAGACCTGGGCATTCTAGGAAACAGCTTAAACAAATAAGCCTTTCATCAGAATTGTTTTGTTAAAAAATGTATCATTTGTCACCATATTAGTTGAAATTTAAAAATAACATTCTAGAAAGCCTATATTTGTACAATTTTGTTGAATTGCTATTCTATGATTTTATTATAGTGTCCCTTAATCACAGTTCAAATGTTCAAGTAATGTTTAATTTGGTAGATCATAAATATATATTTCATATTTTAACACAGTTTTCTTTACAAAAGCAACAGGTTCTAATCTTTAAATGAAACAAATCAAACTTTACATATATAATCTTCATGTAACAAAAAACACTTCATGCAACTCATTTTATGATAATAAATCACACACCTATGTAAAAATAGCACAATTACATCCATTATAAACTCAATAGTCATCAATCCAAACATGTTCACACTGGTAATTTAGAAAATATTCATGATCTAAATCGCCAATATTTTTCTCAAAGCAGCTGCATGTATCATTCAAATGTAGTTTCCCTGACCTAAGTAACAGTCATCCAGAACATGAACACAAGAACAGCGGTCATCATAATCCAGTATTTTGTTTCTCTTAGTTATCAACTATATGCCCTTGGGGTGCTATCCCTGCTTTTGAAAGCATGCTACCTTCAACCTCAAGTTAATATGGCATTTCCAAGACTATTAGCTCTTGATAGGCTTGTCTTCCATTGATTTTATATCTGCCTGCCTGCCTGCCTGCCTGCCTGTCATATTTAAATGAGAGCATCATTATTATTATTTTTTATTTTTAAACCATCTCCCTGTAATGTATTCCACAATTAATTATGTTCTTTATGAATAAATAAAGGTAAGGCTACACTTGGAATACTGCATTCCATTTTGGTCACCATGATGTAAAAAAGTTGTTGAGACTCTAGAAAGAGTGCAGAGAAGAAGAGACTGGAGGCTAAAACATATGAAGAATGGTTACAGGAACTGGGTGTGTCTAGTCTAATGAAAAGAAGGACTAGGAGAGACACGATAGCAGTGTTCCAATATCTCAGTGGCTGCCACAAAGAAGAGGGAATCAAGCTATTCTCCAAAGTACCTGTGGGCAGGACAAGAAGCAAAGGGTGGAAACTAACCAAGGAGAGAAGCAACTTAGAATTAAGGAGAAATTTCCTGACAGTGAGAACAATTAATCAGTGGAACAACTGGCCTCCAGAAGTTGTGAATGCTCCAACACTGGAAGCTTTAAAAAAGATGTTGGATAACCATTTATCTGAAGTGGTGTAGGGTTTCCTGCCTAATCAGGGGATTGGACTAGAAGATCTCCAAGGTCCCTTCCAACTCTGTTATTCTATTCTATTCTATTCTATTCTATTCTATTCTATTCTATTCTATTCTATTCTATTCTAAATGTTTCCTTTATTTAAACCTTCCATCACTGGATGACCTTTTTCCTGATATTTGAGAGGGACCAAAACATTTGCTCCTCTGTTTTGATCATGGACATTGTTTTATATACTGTAACAGTACATTAATCTTTATTCTCAGCTAAAAGTTCCAAATCTTCCTAGCCTCTTCTTATACAGAAATTGCTTGAGTCCTTTAGTTTAAACATTCCCCATATTATATTGTAAATATAAATAATTATAATACATATAAATATTATAAACAGAGTTGGTCCTTGATTTTGATTCTTTCTTTGTCAGCTTTTCATTTTCAAATTTTCTTTTCCCTTATGCCAAATGTCATAGCATTATTTCAAAAATTCTTATTAATTCCACAACACCTCCATCTTGTATCAGATCAATGTCACCATTTAGAATTAAATTAAAAAATGCTTTTTTTGTATTCTAAAACATATTCATTTAGATTATTTAGAGATTTTGTTTCTTTGTCATAGCCTAAACTTGAATGTACCTAGCCTATGTGAGTATAGCTGAAGTCCTACATTATTACAATAGCTTCTCCTTTGCACGCCTCCATGATTTCTTTCACCTTCTGCATTTTGATCAGGTGGGCAATAGCATATCCTTAAATCTAGTTTATATTAGATATTGCCATCCATAGTGATTCTGTGGAGGAATCCAGTGTTCCAATACTTTCTAGTACATTAGATTTTATATCCTATGTGATACAAAGAGCATCACTTCACTTTCCTCACTATACCCTTCCATGTCCTTCCTATAAAGTTTATCAAGAATGACTGTTTTCTACTTATTCTTTCTGATACACCATGTGTCTGTTATACTCATTATACCTGTTTTCTCATCTGTAGCCAAGCATTCTAATTCTCCCATCCTGGCATGGACACTGCTAACATTTGCAAGGAAGCATATAAATATTAGTGTTAACATTGGTTCCTCTTTGAAATAGGGCATCAGGTCCCTTTTCTGTTATTGCTGATATGAATCGTTCTCATAGGCTTTTTATTTTCAGTCTGACCTGATCTGGCTACCCATTAACTCACTATCAAACATTAATCCTATCTCTTATTGTATTTTCTAAAATATCTACACTGTTTTTCATCTTTTGACTTCCTTTCAAGAATCAGCTTGAAAGCATCTCTGGTACTTGCCTAATATCAAAAATCAGCAGCCTAATTCCAATTTGGTTTCTTTATCTTGTACACATTTGATTTGTCCTTAAAAGTTCCTCAGTGTCAAACTCATGTCATCACAGTGGCGTCATGTGACTATCGTGATGCATCTGGTCCATGAGCTGGGAGTTTGACAGCCCTGGCCTAATCAGTCTAATCCCCTCTATTTGACATCACTTTCTTATACACTGGCATTTCATCAGCACACAGAAAAAAGTTGAAAATTGTGTCACAATGCCACAATAGTTCCTCATTCTGACCTACCTTTGTCTCTCTCCATTCACCTACCTCAGATTCCACTGGTATTACCCACACATTAAGACTTCTAAGCTCTTTTTTCATATCCCTTCAGCATAACCATCTTGATTTCAAAGGAACATACTTGTTCCTGAGTGCTGGGAGCTCATTAGATCAGGTATATAACTACTGCTTCTACCTTCAGGTAAATAGCTATTGATCTGCTACTTCACACATTGGACAACACTCTCATCATTGTTGGCCAATTTTGAAACAGTGGTTTCTCTGAGTGAAACTGATAGCAGAAAGGAAAGGAGGTACTTAGATTAGGATTTTTTTTCCTCAGCAACTTCCCCACTATCACTTAATAATTGTCAAGTTTCTTATACCAGGAAAGAAATGTCATTTTTTTGTATGCATAATATTTGAACAACATAAATCTCGCCTCAAAAAATCCTCAGTCCCACAAAAAAAAATTATAAAGGTCATTGAACACTTGTTTACCTTCTGTGAAGTGACTTTATATCTATTAAGTGATAAGAAACAACAACTGATTCACAGGAACACATTACAAATAAAATTTTCCTGATGGTTTCATAGCCTCATACAATATACATTCAAGACAAGTTCATAATCATAGTTTGCATATCTCTTCAAGAAACAATTACCAGACTAACTGAAGGATTACACTTTCTAAGAGGGTCTTGGAAGATATTTAATTTTCCAAAGAGTCCTGACTCTTCCCCACGTCTCTGGGATAGGGGAGGTCAGGGCAACATAAGAATGTGGGTTGCATCAAGAAGGTGCAGTTGTGGCATCTTTTTCTGTTTTTCAGTTTTACCACTGTTGTTTTTATGATTGTATGCATTTTAATTGGTTGTGAGAAGCCCAGAGTTGGTATTAAGATGCCTGTCTATAAAAATATTTTAAGTAAAAATAAATAAAATAAAATAAAACATTTTATTTGAGAGTCTAAATGTTGGCTTTTGACATTCTTGGTTACATTTAAGCTATAAATTCCTGTACTTAGTTTTACATTATGACCAATGTAATTAATGTTTCTGGGTTGTGCTTTTATTTCTTATGACTTGGGTCTTAATGTTATGAAATATATTTCATAAATCAGCAAGGATCACAAGTGTATGTAGGCTATATCAGCACTAATTACATGTACAAAACTCCATTCCTGAGGGTTTTTATTTGTAGTTTAGTTGTTTTTTTCACAGCCATTTTTCAGTAGAAGAATTATTTTGCATCCTGTTACTCATACCTTCCAACAAGGTTGTTGTTGTTATTGATTTTACATATTATTGATTAGAGGTATGAAGCAGTATATATTACACTTGTGTTTATAACATAGACATGATGTATAACTAATACAAGTAATATATGACTTTACTTATAAATATATATGTAGTAACTTTTAAAAATTGTTTGTAATGGCAAACTAGAATAACTCTCCTTAGATTTCCCTGGATGATGTACTGGATGAAAACCTACGCTTGGCACGCGAGTATCAGATGCTGCAGATATGCTATCTAAATGACAAAAATCAGCTTATGGATTTCTATGATCATAAAGAAAGAGCTGAAGCTGCATTACGGGATCAGCAACAGGTATGATAAAATGTTATTTTTAACATCTTGTTTTTTAATTATTATTACTACCAATTAATGTCAGAAAGTAAAACTGAAATACATATATCAAACAATATATTTCTCTCATGTTCTTTTGTCCTATTATTCATTTTATACTTTATAAATGAAAATATCATTTTTGTCAACCATGATAGTTTGCCTCAGTTTGGATCTTATTAATCTAAGGACAATGGAATTTTAAAAGGGAGTAGAGATTATTGCAGTTAGGTATTAAATTTGACCTACTATGAATTGGATCTTGGTGATTAGAAGGCAGAACTCTCATTTATTTGTTTGGTTGGTTTACTCAGGTTTATAGGCTGCTTCAATCATAAATGGACTCTTAAGTGGTGTATATTACCAATTATCATGAAAAGATTAAAATGATAAATGTAACAGAAAATAACACATACCCAGATGACACTTTATTGGCATAGGGACTTTCAAGGTACAACCTGATCTTATTGGGTGGACAAAGGAAAAGGGGGCCCTAAACAGCTCTTATGCCATATTGTACTTTAAAGATAACTAGTAACATCTTAAATTATATCCAGAAGCCAACTGGTAACCATTAGAACTCTCATAATAGTGACATCATCCAGGCATAATAAGACATGCCCATAAATATGCAAGTCATGAAAACTGGAGCTTCTGGGTTATCTTTTTAGTGAGGCGAGGGTACCAGTGTGATTGATTACATAGTAGTAAAATCCTTAAATTTGCTTCCAATGAAAGGATAGATGTGATCATTTCCCACTTTTTGATGTTGATATTTAGTATGCAGACAGGATGACAAGGCATGGAGGAGACTGCTTAGTCTCCTATGACTGCTTCGAATTCCCAAATTAAGTAGACTAGCAAGCCTGTGGGAACAGCCTCACAGCTTTTTAATATCTCCAAAGGATCCCATTTTAAATTATCTTTGAGGGTTATGAAGAATAATAGCTATTTATCAACAAATTACCAATTGTACTCAGAAACATCTAAAATCTAATATAGAATTCTTTATTGGCCAAATGTGACTGGGCACACCAGGAATTTGTCTTGGTGCAAATGCTCTCAGGATACATAAAAGAAAAGATACATTCTTCAAGAATCAAGAATCATAAGATACAACACTTAATAATAGTCATAGGGTACAGTAAGCAATCAAATCATACTAGGAAACGGTCAATATAAATTGTAAGGATACAAGTGACAAAGTTACAGTCAATACAATCACAAGTGGGAGGGGATGAGTGATATGGAGTGATGAGAAGATTAATAGTAATAGTAATGCAGACTTTGTAAATAGTTGGACAGTGTTGAGGGAATTATTTGTTTAGCAGAGGGATGGCGTTCGGATAAAAACTGTTCTTGTGTCTAGTTGTTGTATGCAGTGCTTTATAATGTCATTTTGAGGGTAGGAGTTGAAACAGTTTATGTCTGGAATGTGAGAGGGTCTGTAAATATTTTCACAACCCTATTTTTTACTTGTGCAGTATACAGGTCCTCAATAGAAGGCAGGTTGGTAGTAGTTGTTTTTTCTGCAGTCCTAATTAGTCTCTGAAGTCTGTGTCTGTCTTGTTGGGTTACAGAACCAAACCAGACGGTTACCAAGGTGCAGATGACAGACTCAATAATTCCTCTGTAGAACGGTATCATCAGCTCCTTGGGTAGTTTGAGCTTTCTGAGTTGGCAAAGAAAGAACATTCTTTGTTGTGCTTTTTTGATGATGTTTTTGATGTTAGGTGTCCATATTACTCCCAGTTAAAAACTCATTCCAAAATCCAAGCTTTGGCTTAATAAATAATGTGTTGTAACTAAGGCTAAATTAGCAATGTGTGTGGGCTCATCACCTTTCACAGCAACCTTCACTCCGAGGATGCTAATTTGGCCCCAGAAAAAAATAGTTAAGACTTTTCCAAAAGAGAAGAAATTGGTACAGCAAATTATAAGGTATAGTAAAAAATGAGAAAAGCGGGCCAAGATAGAAAAACTCTACTGCCTTCTGTGATGTTACTGCCAATTCAATCCCAAAACCCTAGTTCTGGGACAGGGACTTCTGATCTGAAAAATAAGTCTGACATTTTTGTGAGCTATTTAATATAAGAGCAAATAAATCAGACCTGTGAGTTATAATTTGACCTACTATACATATACATATGATAATAAAGTATCATAAAGTATCATAATAAAGTATCACTATAGAGATTTCCAAACTTTGCAAAATGATAAAGCTATAAGAGGAAATTTGATTTCTGTTGAACTCCTAAAATCAAATTTTGAATGGTTTGTTTAGCATATGGCATCTACAGAGATAATATAATATAATATACAGCACCAGTAAACCACATTATATGCACAAACACAAATATAAGTTTAAATAAAGCATCAGCAAATATATCTATGTAAAATATGTGGACAATAGACAAGATAAAATTTTCTATTTTATTGAAAATTATATATTTACATATTATGTAAAATATAATAAAATCACCATAATATAATGCCATAAAATTACAATAGGATAGATCAATATCTAATGAAGCTACCCTTCTAACTGCTTCTGGTGTGGCTCTGATGAGATCATCTCAGGTGCCTGGAAATTTCCTGAGGAGATATTCTCAAACTATATTTGCTGTTGTTTGTTCCGGTGCACCACAGTCACATTGTGGACATTCCCCACTTAAAGAGCTTTGCCCGAGTTCTGGTATGGCCTGTCTTGATTCTATTCAGATGGTTCCATATTTTGGGAGGCAACTGCATTCCCAGAAGTATTTTTGTTTGGAACCTTTTCTTTATGTATACTGAGAGTATTTACACCAAGACAAATTCCTTGTGTGTCCAATCACACTTGGCCAATAAAGTATTCTATTCTATTCTACATGATCTTTTTGGTAATGGTTATTAACGGTTACCCATTTTGATTGCCATTCTTCATCTAGATCGTAAGGCTGTGGTACGTTATCCTAAACTGTTTTTCTAGACTTAAGCCTGGTGCAAGATAGAGAATCTAATACTTTATGTATTGGTAGATCCCAATGGCCTGTTTATCTTATTCCATTCTTGAACTTCTGTTGTTGTCGCCTGAGATCAGGAGGGGCAGTATTAGAAAAAACATGGAACCATGAGAGCAGCGTAGATTTGAGAGTTCTGTTATTATTCTCTTTGTGTCATTAAGATAAACACCAATCTTTTTGGTATGACAACTTCTTTTCCATAGATATGCATAGTATTCAGCAACAGAGTAAACTAATGATTGTGCTACTGTATGCAATGTTTTTGCTTGTGTTCCTCAACCTGTTCCCATGATTTTCCTAGTCAAGTTGTTCCTTGTTTTTAACTTTTGTGGAACCTAATAAAGTGAATCAACAGTTTGAATTCTGCTAGCTGTACCCTTGTGCATTCCCTTCTTGGTTCCTATGGGTTGTGAATGATGGATCTGGGAGATAATTAGCATTTCTTCAAGGGAAGATGCAATACCTCCTGTTTTGAAACTGACAATGATGTTCTGTTTCTTATAGAAGCCCTTTCTGAAATGGTGGTTTAATATCCTTTTTAGCCAGTCTGCAACTATTCCCTTATGAATTTGTTGAGAATGTGCTAGGGAATTAGCTACTAAAAATTCTAGAAGAGATTATCTGGATTCTTTCCAATCAGAATTTGGGCCTAGTGAGGGGATAGAAATAGCATTCATTGCTTTTGTAGATAACTTTCTCAGGACCAGATGGAGGAGCATACTCCTCTTGATCTTTCTAGACTTCTCAATGTAATGCAAATGGACGGACGGATGGATGGACCAACAGACAGATAGTCAGACAGAGAGAAAGGGGGGAGAGGAGGGGATGAGAGGAGAGGAGGGGAGAGAAGGGAAGGGAAGAGGAGAAGAGAAAAGAAGAGAAAGTTTAAAAATCATGTTAAAAAATTATACTAAAATTATCCATCACATTTGTGACTTTATATAGTAATTAGGAAAATTATCATTGGAGAAATTTCTTCATAAAGTTATTTGATAAGGGGAACCAGTTACACGTTTTCTTTAAAACAAAAATGTATATTATTCTACCAGGAGCATGAAAAGTAACCCTAAAAGGGATGGAATGCAACAATTATAGAGTTATGTAAATCAACAGTTTTTCAGTATGATTGGTTATACATATAATTGATGAAAGTGAATTCTATGAGATAATTGGTAGAGCTGCAAAAGCAATAGCATATTTGAGAAGACAAAGCCAATATTATATAAATAGAATTACTTTCTATGGAGTTATTTTCATGGCTTTATCTTATATCAAACTTATTTTCCAGGTATTTTTTCCTCACTACCTAGCATCTTTTCCCAACATCACTAACATTCTTTGGTCTTCAAAATATTTTATGGCTGAACTGACATTTATTGTTCAGTTCAAGGAAGGTAAAGTAGGAAGGGGAATATGGCTTTGCCTAACAAATGCAATTTGCCTCCTACAGAATGCTTGTTTTTCATGTAATATACATGAAATATATACACAGTGTGTGTGTGTGTGTGTGTGTGTGTGTGTATTAACAGATTTCATATTTTATCATTTATGATATATCTATAATAAAATATATTATTTTATTTTCTTATGATTGGCTTTAAGAAATAATGGAAAACTAGTTAATTTTTTTAATTATCCAGGTTTAATGTGCCTTCTTGTTATAGGATATAGGCTACATAAATCGAATAGGATCTAAACTGAATAATTACAAAATTAGTTGAAAAATGTTTTGGTAGTCTAGTGAAGCTACAAAAACATCAGCAAATGAAGAATATTTGCATTGTTTACATTACAATAAGAAAAATTGTTGGTTATATACTGCTTCTATTAAGAGATATATTTTTCTTGAGATTTGTGTTAATAAGCGAGTTACAACTGCAATGGAAAATCAATTTTGTGGGAGTATCACAGTAATGAATTTTGTAGTTGCTATACTGCACATATTCATCACAGTGACATGAAGCCTCAAAGAGAAAA